GCGGCCGACCCGGGTTCGATTCCCAGCATCCCATATGGTCCCCCAAGCACGGCCAGGAGTAATTCCTGAGTGCATAAACCAGGAGTAACCCCTGTGCATCGCTGGGTGTGACCCAAAAAAGCAAAAAAATAAAATAAATAAAATTAAAAAAATAATAAAGTGACCTACAAGCCATAGTTTGGTAAATCCTACTCTGGTCAATTGCATTGTATTGTGTCTCTCCTTATTCCAATGCCATCCCATTTTGATTATTATGGATTTTGAGTTTTGAAATTAGATCATAGTTTGTCTTTCAACTTTTTCCTTCTGTTTGAGAATATTTTGACTATTCATTTATTTTAGCCACTGCTTTTACAAAATTATTTTGACATAAATTTAATATAGTCTTGCCAGTTGTTTTGTTTTTGCTATTGGGCCATACCCAGTTATGCTTAGGGTTTACTCCTGGCTCTGTGGTCAGGGATTACTCCTGGTAGTGCTTGGAGGTCCATATGTAGTGCTGGGATCAAACCAGGGTCAGGGGCAAGCAAGACCAAGGGCATGTGCTGTTCTTGTCTTCCTGTACTATGTGTCTAGCTTCTGTCAGTATGTCTAAAAAAAAAGAGTCTGCTCAAATTTTTCTTAGAATCATTGGGAAATAGCTAGAGTGGTAGTACAGTGGGTAGGGCACTTGACATGTATGTGGTCAACATAGATTGGATCCCTGGCACTCCTTGTGATGTCCAGACCTGCTATGACTGATCCCTGAGATTCACCACCTAACGACAGAATTACCTTATAATGCATTCCTCATTATTTCTCTCGTACTTAATGATCCAATATTGCTGGATTTTATTTGTTAAACTGAGCTGAGGATTTAGTATTATTTGTTAACATTGAGCTAAGGATTTGGTTGAGGGCTAGAGCTATAGTACAATGGATAGGGTGCTTGCTTTGCATGCAGTCAACCCTGGTTCAATCCACTAACATCCCATATGGTCACCCAAGCACTGCCTGGAGTAATTCTTTTTTTTTTTTTTTTTTTTTTTTTGCAGTTTGGGTCACATCCAGCAATGCTTATGGATTACTCCTGGCTCTGTATTCAGGAATAACTCCTGGCAGTGCCTGGGGGACGACATGGGATGCCAGGGTTGACCACGTGCAAGGCAAACATCATACCCACTGTACTATTTGGCTCCACCTGGAGTAATTCTTTTATTTTTTTTCTTTTTAAATTTTTTTAATTGAATCACAGTGACAAAAACATTTACAAAGTTGCTTGTGATTGAATTTCAGTCGTAATTTTCCAACACCCATCACTTCACCAGTGTGCTTTTCCCACCACCAATGGTCCCAGTTACCCTCCTGCCCTTCATCCTGCCCTTCACCCCCACACCTTCCACTATGGCCAGCACTGTTCACCTCTCTCTCTCTCTCTCTCTCTCTCTCTCTCTCTCTCTCTCTCTCTCTCTCTCTCCTTTTAATGAGATAAATGAAAGATTATCAGGAAGATGGGTGGAGTGATAGCACAGCGGTAGGGCGTTTGCCTTGCATGCAGCCAGCCCAGCTGAGCCAGGTTCGATTCCTCCACCCCTCTCGGAGAGCCCGGCAAGCTACCGAGAGTATCTAGCCCATACGGCAAAGCCTGGCAAGCTACCCGTGACATATTCAATATGCCAAACACAGTAACAAGAAGTCTCACAATGGAAACGTTACTGCGCCTGCTTGAGCAAATCGATGAACAACGGGAGGACAGTGCTACAGTGCTATCAGGAATATCCCTTTACTTAGTGGAAACACATTCAGTTCCTGTCCAAAGTGATTATGTCCAACTATTATTGTCATGCTGATCTTTTCTCTATCCTAGCTGCCCTTCGCCCCCTACACCCTCTTGTGACAAGCTTCCAACCATTGACCAGTGTTTCTGATCCCTATTTTTTTTCTTGCCTTGGATATCAGACTCTCTCTCTCTCTCTCTCTCTCTCTATATATATATATATATATATATGTGTGTGTGTGTGTGTGTTTGTGTGTTTTTATGTGTGTATTTTATATTCTATAAATGAAAGCACCTCAAAAGAAGCTTATAGAGTAATTCTTGAGTGAGAGCAAGGAGTAACCTCTGCGCATTGCTGAGTATAATCTCAAAAGAAACAACAAACAAAAAGAATGTCAAGACATAATATAGTCTGTATAATCTCCAGGTGGCTAGGGAAAGCCCCAGCAGCTCTCCCTCTCACCACCCACATTCAGTGGACTTGGGCTGCTTCCCCACCTGGGGCGGCTCATGACATGGGGTGGATGAAGGAGAAAGTGAAGGCCAAGCCAGTTGATGATCTGTTGCCTTTTATTCCATTCTCCTCACACACCTGTTCCAGTCTCACTAAGCCCCCCATTCTAGTCTCACATTGCCCTTCATTCCTGTCTCCTCCTGTCTCTCCTACTACTCTCTCCGCACTCCATCTTGCAGCTGCATCTCTGATCTCTCTGTGTGCCTGCCCCTGAATTCTTCCCCTACATTCTTCTCCCTCTGCTCCCCTTGCTCGTCTCTCCGTGCTCCATCTTGCTGCCCTGGTCTCTCTCTCATCTCTCTCCAACCCTCTGTATTGGGGGTAGTCACCACCCAATACACCCCGTCCAGCAGCAGAATCAACATAAGAAAGCCCTTTCTTTGCTCACAGGCAAAATACCACTCAAGGTGTTTTCCTTCTTTCCTTAGTCCAATAACTTAATTAACATCTCAACTCTGCTTCTTATTAGTAGTTATTTTGTGTGGACACAGTAGGAAATACATTGAGCTTGTTGTATGGCTCTCCTGGGACATCTCACCACAGACTCAGACTACAGTGCTCAGGCCAGATTAAACATTCCTAATCCTAGCAGGGTCTGAATCTAGTTATTGCTTTTTGAATCATGACAGCATTTGTCCATGACCATGCTCTTAACTTATAGTTAAGCATTATGGCACTTTGGCCAGGCCCATTTTGATGCCAAGGTAGCATATAGCTCAAAATTTGCCCTGGGTCCATCCAGTCTCTCATCAGGACCCTGCTTTGGGGGTGCTAGGAAGTAAGGGCAACTGAGGCTTAGGTTGAGAGAATAGATGCCCCAGAGGTAATATTATCTGGAGTCAATTAATTCCCAAGTTATAAAAGTATAGCATTGTCTTCTTGTGCCCATGCAAAAAGGACACTGCTCTAAATTAACTATGCAAAGGACTTAAGGAGAAGAGAAAAACAATATTTATAAGTCAACAGAGCACAAAGAAATAGGTTACAAATAAACAGAGGAATGGGAGCAATGTGATGGGAGTAACCCAATAAACCTAAGCTCCCTGTGGCAAGGCAGAAAGGACAAGTCAATGTTATCCAACAATAATCATACTCATTGACTTAGTAAATGGATCCAAAACCCTAATTCCTATATTATATTGCATTACACTGCATCATATATATCATTTATATTATAGAACAATCCTAAGTGCAATTTTGTTCTCAGGGCAATCATATATTAGTGTGTCTCAATGGCCTCTTATTTGACTCAGCTAGTGAAAAAACAAGTTAAATCCAATTGAGTCCTGGTCTTTGTGATAGCTACTATAATTTTTGTTTCCAGAAAAGCAAAAACTAGAAACAAAATTTTCTTCCATTAGAATATAATCTACTTATAGACAGAGCATATAATTTATTCATATTCATCTTCATTTTCACAATGCTAGTAAAAATGCTTGTAAAGTCCTGGGCATTTGCATAATTTATTTATTGAAGGAATAGCATTTTAAAAATTAAAACAAGGCTTTTAAAACTTTTATTCCAGCTTCTCTTTGTACAAAATTCTCCTTTCAGAACAGAATTCTCTTTGAAACAAAATATAGGAGCTAAAAGCTATATCTCTGGCATTTAACTGCTCCAAGTAGTCATTTGTCCTTAAGTTTTACCAAAGAAAACAAGATGTTATTAAATATGAGTAGTGGTCAATTGTTGCCCTTCCAACATGGAGATTTTCATAAATCTCAAAATCATGATGAAAATTTAAAACTCTCCAAGCTGCTAGCAGCTTTACATCTTATTTTATTTTACATTTTTTTTATTGAATCACTGTGAAATAGATCCTTACAAAACTGTTCACAAGTAGGTCTCAGTAGTACAGTGTTCCAACACCCATCCCTCCATCAGTGCACATTTCCTAGCACCAGTGTCCCCAGGTTCCCTCTCATCACCCCCCACCCTCCACACCCCCAACTTTACATTTTAGAAATTACCATGCTGTTGGCTGTACACATTCCTTTGACAGAATTATATTTTAATTATACCTTAAAGCCTTTAATTTTTAAAATAAGCACAAGTTTATTCTGATGGCAGCTGTGTGTGGCAGTAAAAGGGAATGATCTACACGATGCCTTTCAAAGATGGATTGAATATACTGCACTAAGAGAAAGCATTTTCTGAATTCCATGCCTTCTAGTGAGCTGATCAGTTTATCTGGCCTACACCACAATGACATCTACTGGCCCAGCAAGGACTGAGCACCCAGAGGTAATCAAAAATGACAGCACTGTGGGGTTTTCTCTGTGATTACTGACTGACAGTGAGCTACATGTGCTTGTGTCTCTTTATTTCCTCCTGCCCTTTCCTTTGTTGCTGTTGTTTAAATCACTGACTGTTGTATTCTTAGTTGTGGGGCTCCTACCCTTGGTTGTGGTATTCAATGGAGGTCACATGGGTCAGCTGCAATGTACCCACATTCTTGGTTGCAGTGCTCTGGACATAACATGCTTTGTTGTGGCATCAGGGAGGCACACGGAAGTGCAGATATCACACTCAAGGCCTAACACCTGCTGGTCAGGCACTCTACCAATCAGCCACAAACTAGGCCCTTAGGCTTGACTTTCTTAATGGGGATCATTTTTGACATTGTGCCTCCGTCACTTATTACCCTGCTTGCACTTTAAAGATGCTCCCAAAATGTGTTGGACAATCATTATTGTTATTGCCTATATTCCTATCTTTAAAAACTCATGAGCGCTTCCTTTGGAAGCACATAGGCTAAAACTGGAATGATCAGGAGATTAACTTGGCCCCTGTGCAAGTATGACACACCAGTTAGTGAAGCGTTGCATGTTTTTAAAAAAGAAAAAAAAAAAGACATGATATCTAAGCAATACTGTGGGTGATCTAAAATTTTTAAAACATATTGACTTTTTAAAAAACTTTATTTTATTTTTTCTTTTTGGGTCACACCGGGCAATGCACAGGGGTTACTCCTCGCTCTGTACTCAGGAATTACTCCTGGCAGTGCTCAGGGGACCATATGGGATGCTGGGAATCGAATCTGTGTCGGCCGCATGCAAGCCAAACACCCTACCCGCTGTGCTATAGCTCCAGCCCCAAAACATAATGTCTTTTAAAATGGAGGTTCTTCATCTCTTTTTCTTTCCACAAGACCAAGTAATAATGCTTTTTGCTATTTATCCAAAGTTGTTAAAAGCTTATGCCCACACAAAACCTGCACACAAATGTTTATAGCAAGGTTTATTCCTAAATACCAGAACTTGAAAACAAACAAGTGAATAAACAAGCTTCTGTATGTCCATTCAATGAAATATGATTCAACAATAAGAATCAATAAGACCAACACAAAAATGCACAAATTAACCTTAAATGAGTATTTCAAAGAGAGGGGGAAAACATCTGGAAGATATTATGCTGAATAGTTCCAACTACAGAACATTCTGGAAAAGTCAAACTATGGAGACAAGTTTAGTAGTTGCCATAGGTTAGAGCAATAGGGATGAATGTACAGTACACAGGAAGCTTCAAGACAGCTACTCTGGATGACTCTATTGATGAATACAAGTCACAGAAATTTTGTTCAAACCTATAGATTACACACCACAAAGAGTGAACTCAAATGTAAACTCTGGACTTTGGTTAATAATAATTGATCAATACTGATTCCTGATTTTAACAAATGTACCACACTAATATAAGATGCCAATAATTATTTATCTATGACTATTGGTAATATTCAATAAACTAAATATTATGCTTCCTAATAACAGGAGAAATTGTGAAGGGGAAGCAATGAGGAGGGAAGGAATGGATATATAGGAACTATGTGTACTCCTGCTCAATTTCTCTGTTAAAACCATTCTAAAAATAAAAACAATAATAAATTAAAATAGTCTTTTTTTTAAGTAAACTTGGGCCAGGTTGCTGCTCTTCAAGCCCATGTTCTCCCTGGAACATGTACCTTGCTTGCCTCTATGTTTCTTTGCTTACTAATTTCCGTTCTGGAGAAATCTGTGTTCTCTCTTGAAAACATACTTCTCTCTTTCTCTCCTCTCACGTCTTTCTAAATAAGTTTCATTCCAGAGAGAGAGAGAGAGAGAGAGAGGAAGGGGGAGGGAGGGAGGGCGGGAAGAAGGGAGGAAGGAAGGAAGGAAGGAAGGAAGGAAGGAAGGAAGGAAGGAAGGAAGGAAGGAAGGACCCCAGTTGAGGACCAGGAGACAGTACAGTGGTTAGAGTGTAGGCTAGGTGGGTTTGATTCTTTGTACCACATGGTCTCTGAGCATCAGTGAATACAGGCCTGGAGACTCCTGGCATCTGCTGTTGGCCCCAGTATCACCACCATCACAGGGCTGAGCAGTGCTAATGTATTGAATCAGTCACCTGGTTGGCAGAGAATCATCTTTTGGGTCCCCTGGGCCTTGTGAGCACCATTAGATAGTCTAAATAAAAGTAAATGGATATAAAATATTATAAATGTTTAAGTAACCTATTATTTTTTATGTAGGAGTACTGCTATTTATTCAGCCACTGATTAACTGATTGAATTGGGCATGAACTCCATCTTACTTTTTTTTTCATAATTTTATTTATCATTTTCTCTTCTTATATTTATTTATTGAATCACTGTGGGAAAAGTTACTAAGCTTTCAGGTTTAAGTCTCGGTCACACAATGACCAAACACCTCTCCCTTCACCAGTACTCATTTTTCACCACCAAGAACCCCAATATACCCCCCCTTCCACCCCTCCCAATGCCTGTGAGGCAGATGATTTCCACTTCACTATTCTCTACATTGATTACATTCATTATTTCGACAAAAGATGCACCATTATTGTTTAGAGTTTCCCCTCCCCCCAACAATCAGAATTGCTGAAAAGGCATTGTGAAATACTTTGTTTTCTATAGCTGGTTATGAGAATCATATAATCTCACGTGGCCGCAATAGCGGCCTCGTGATTTTGGATTTCTGCAAAGAGCCAGATAATTACGAGATTGGTTTCTGTGCATCTGGTGTTATGGCTGTGCCAGAGACCAGCTCGTGGGGGGCAACTCATGACGAGGGTGCAAAGGACGAGCCGGTACCGCCCCCCCTCCCACGAGACTGCAGTTACCCTGTCACCACTGGCTCACACCTGACTTTCCAAGAAGCTCTGAGGCGGTGGCCACATTGCTTCAGGGAGGCGGGGGAAGGCAGAAGGGAGCAACACCCTTTCCCTCCTGGGGAGGCATGGTGGCATAGTTTAATGCATGGTCCATTCATTTTTCTGCCACAGCTGCCGGGCTCTGGATTAAGTCCTTTTGCCTCTGGAGCCATGGCCGTGCCGGAGAGCCGCTCATGGGGGCAACTCGTGACCTCAGTAGCACATGAAGGATGAGCCGGTACTGCCCCCCTTCCCATGAGACTGCAGTTGCCCCGTAACCACCGGCTCATACCTGGCTTCCCAAGAAGCTCTAAGGCAGCAGCCACCTTGTATGCAGTCCAGATGCATTTCTGCCAAAAGCCTCTGGGTTTCGAGATTTGTTTCTGAGTCTCTGGGATCATGGCTGTTAATCAGTTTGATAGGAGGCAGAGAGGCTGTTTGTAGGTGGCGACTTGGGGTCTCGCTGGGATGGGGAGGAAAGGACTGGTTCCACCCCCATCTGGTGAGGCCCCGCGTGTCTTGTCACTGCAGACCCAAGCCTGACTGTCCAGTGGCCTCTGGGGGATGATGGTCACTGGGCTGCCAAGGGGAACAGACCAAGGCACGAAACCTATTCCCACCTGGAATGGCCTAGTGCCAGTAACCTACTGCAGGAACAGGACGCATTTCTTCCAAAAGCCTTTGGGTTCTGAGATTCCTTTCTGAGTCTCTGGGATCATGAGCCATTAAGCATTTTGATCAGGAACCAGAGAGGCCATGCCTCCAATTATATAGCTGAGCCAGAGGTGGTTTGTGGGTGTGTCTCCCACATACCTACCTTTTGGTTGTTTACTTTCTTGGTAAACTTTGCTCCAAGTTTTTGGGGTCTGGCCAAAGGCACAGCAGCAATTTTAGGGTATCTGAATGCCTGACGGTGCCATCAAACTGCTGATGCACTCGCTTCGCAGGTACAAATTGACCTGCTGGCGGCACCATACCCCCAAGTAACCTATCATTTTGAGACAGATTATGGGATCTATTTGTTACAGCTTTTTAGAAGATATGTGACTATAAGAAATGAACAGGGTCAGAGTGATAGTACAGTGGGTAGGGTACTTGCCTTGCACACAGCTGACCCAGGTTTGATCCCCAGAATCCCATATGGTCACCTGAGTCCATCAGGAGTGATTCTTGAGTGCAGAGCCAGGAGTAACCCCTGAGAATCACCAGTGTAGCCTATAAAACCAAAAGAAAAAATAAGAAATGAATTGAACAGGCTTGTTTGCCAATATTTTCCCTACTACAATTCTAAATGACACAAATCTATGCTAGACATTTATTTTGTAAGTAATTATATAATTAAGTTCTCAAACAGAAAGCTGTTTTGCTATCATAGTCTCAAAGTAAAAAACAAATTTTTTTGCTTAATCCTTGGGCTGATGCAATTAAACACTTCACTTCATGTGTTTTTCATTTTGATGTCCCCTGGGACTGAAAATTGCCTATCTCAGAAACTGCTATAAATCGACTATGAATTACTGGTGTGTTAGAGGAAAGAAGCATGATTCTATTAAAGCCTCTTCCAAGAGCTCTCAGACGCACCAAGCAGAAGCCTCTGCCAGGGACTGTTTAATAGTGTGAGAGGGAGTCCTACTCTGAATCCTTGTGAGAAAAGCAAAAATTGATTCTGATCTGTGAGTTCTGTTGCAAAAAGTCTTACACTTGAAAATTGATTTCCATTTTATCACAGAAAGCTGACAGGAAGTCCAGTAAATCAGGAGTCCCACAAGTACTCATCTGAAACCCAGATACTTAGCAAAAAGGAAACCTTTTATGGCCTTCTCCATAAAGCTCAAAAGGAAGCTGGTGTTTGAACTATGACTTGAGCAATTTCAGGGTAGCGATACATCTTTTGGACTAAACTGTTTGCTATTTGGGCCTGCTATAATAATAAAACATACACACAAAAGAACAACTTTCTGCCTTCACATCAGGCAGGACTAAACTTCGCTAATAGAAAGAATTATAAGGGAAGAGCATATCTCTGCCTATTCACCTCAAGTTAAAAGGTATCATTTTCATCTGATGTTTCATTTGTTCTAAGGAAAAGTTTCTACACCAAATAAAGGCATAAAACCAAAAGAAGAAAATCTTTGCACCCACACAGGTACCCTGTTTTTCACTCAGATTGCTCAGAAGATAGCTTAACGTAGACATTAAGACTCTGGTCACTGGGATGTCAGAATCTTTTGGACACAGAGAACAGAACTTTTGAGATGTCAAGGGCCTTAAACACATTTCCAACTCTAAAATTTTTGTCACCCTAAATTCTTTATTTATTTATTTTATTTTTTTATTAGTGAGACACCATGAGGTATAGTTGTAGATTTACAATTTTTGTGCTTGGGTTTCAATATACTATGATCAAATACCCATCCCTCCACCAGTGCCCATTTCCCACCACTACGGATCCCAGTATCTCTCCCACCCCCATCCCCCGCATCCCACCCTGCCTCTGTGACAGGGCATTCCCCTCTGTTCTCTCTCTCCTTTTGGGTGTTGTGATTTGCAAAAGAGGCATTGAGTGGCAATCATGTTTGGTCTATAGCCTACTCTCAGCATGCTTCTCCCATCCTGGGAGGATCCTCCCAACACCCTTTATTTGGTGTTTCCTTCTCTATCTGAGCTGCCTTTTCCCCTAGCATGTGTGGCT